CCTGTGTGTGGCCCCAGGCCGCCCATGGCTCCCATCTGCCCTGGGAGCCCAGACCCATCGGGGAGTTGGACTGGCTGCCTCCAGGCGGCACGGGATTCATCTTCGTGTAGATGTTGTCGCTGGAATTTGTTGAATCTGCAGGACCAGGCATGACGGATGTTCCTGGGGGGTGGGGGGGGGGCTACCGCCAAGAGGTCCCCTGTAGGTGCGGGGTGATGAGGGGAGTATGGAGTTGAGTTAGCGCTGTTAGAATTGGGTCAGGGTCTGCCGGCTCCCAGGCCCATGTTCATCGCGGGCATTGTGGCCAAGGGAGTCCGTGGTGATCTCCTGCCACTGCCTGAGTTTGGTGGGCCGAACCCACAGGTCCCCTGCCTCGGGGAAGGCTCATCCTCTGCATTGTCTTCCCCTGTTGGGGCGCCCTTGTTGTCCTGTGGGGCCCATGGAAATGGGCAGCAGTGGCTGTGCCCCAGGAACTCCTCCCGTAGGCTGGCTTCCAGGTCTGATGGGAGCCTGGGGCCGCCTGCATATCATGTGACATAAAAGGCTGACTGTGGGGTCCCCTCCTGCTGCTGGGATTGTGGGGTGCAGGCTGTGCATGCGGGAGGGCTGTGACCCGAGGACCCTGACAGAAACCCGACGGATGGGGCCTCCAGGCCTCCTGTCCTCGGGGGAAAGCTGCCAAGCACTGGGCTGCGGCTGCTGCTGCTCTGCAGTCAGAAAGGCTGCTGCTCCACGTGAATGTGCGCCAGTGTCTACCCTCAGGAGCTGCGCAGAAAAGGTCCCCAATGCGCACCCCCGCGGATGCAAAACCAGGTGGTTCGCCCAACGTGACGTTTTCCCATCGAATCTCTGACAAGAAGGTCTGTGCAGATTCCCGCGCTCCTATGTGCAGTGAATATTCGTAGACGCAAAAAGCTGACCTAAGTCTCACAAACGCGAAAATCACCGGATCCCGTCGCTTCCCTCCTGTTCACCATACACTCCTTGCGACCCTCTGCCCAGCTCCGAGGGTCCGGGATCAGTGCTGGACTCCGTGGGCAGCGAGGCGCCGCCCTCACTACCTCCCCCCAAAACAACTGTCCCCAAGCCTAGGGCCAGAATGGTGCAGCCGACCCTGCCCCGCCAGGCGCCCAGGAGGGCACAGGAGCAGAGGGAGGCCGAAGGCAGGGGAGGGAGAGCTGCATATGTCCTTTCTGATGAGTATTGGGGTTCCTTAGGATGTATTCCTAGAAGGGGGATCACTGGTCACATGGGAGTTCCATTTCTATTTTTTGAGGAATTTCCATACTGTTTTCCATAATGGCTGCACCAGTCTGCATTTCTAATGGCCAAATAAACTGATGAACAAAGACAGACCCAGAGACATAGAAGCAGGAACAGACTATGGAATGTTGGAGGGAGGGCAGGAGTAGGTGGATGGGAAAAGGTCCACTAATGAACTTGTATGCAAATATGCCTAACCAATGGACACAGACAATGGGGTGGTGAGTGTGGGGGAGGGGGACAGGAGTGGGCTGGAAGAGTTAATGGGGAAAGGGGAACCTATGTAATACTTTCAACAATAAGGATTTTAAGAGAGAGAGAGAGAGAGAGAGAGAGAGAGAGAGCACAAATCTTGTAAAGGATCCTGTCATCCAAGCCCCACTGTGCTCTCTCCCACCTCCATGTCGTCTTCCTCACCTTCCCTCCTTATCTTCAATGCACAAATGCAGCTGCGAATGGTTATTCTCCGGAGCATTTGAGGTCTGGCTCTCCAACAGTTGTCATAAGTTTGGCTCCAAAAAGTCTTATAACACATCTCTCCATGTTTGGACATTTCTTACATTAACATTCTGTCTTTTCTTCATTTAAAACATCCGTTCATACATGTTTCTTCCCCACGTGCAGAAGAAAGGACTCACGATTATTAAAAACCTGCTACCTTGCCAGGATGTGGTCTGAAGAGTTCACACCCTTTGGTGCACGGACTGACACCCCAACCACTGAGCCACACCAGCCAGGGCTCCATTTTTAAAAGGTGGAAACTCTCCCACGTTGAGAAGCTGGGAACGCAGGCCTTTTGCACATGAACAGCAGGGAAGTCGAGTGAAACCTGTGGTTTCGGTTAGGCAGCTGCGTGCCTGTGACAGGGACAGCAGGTTTGAGATGGAGGCTGTGGCCACAGGGTCCAGCCCAGCCTCTCCTCCCTCGTCACTTGCATATGTTTGACTTATTGATAGGGGAGAAATAGAATGTGGAGAACCAGCTAGAATTGTAAGGAATAGTAATCCTGCTCAGTTAACTGTGATTGTTTATTCTGATTAAAGAAGCACATTCTCACCTGGCTGGCAGCCGCACTGGGGACCTGGAAGCTCACCTGGAAGTGCGGCCCTTCCTCCCCATTTGGAGCTGCCAAGTATCATGGAGAGATTCACAACTTTGCTGCAGGAACCAGCCCGCCAGCCCTTTGAAGACCCTCAGCCCTCTGCTCCCTGTCAACGGCCCCTTTGGCATAGCCTTTGGCTACTTCCCCATGTAATCCTTTGTCCTTTTATTCAATACTAGTGGCCCAGTGCAGAAATTCATGCACATTAAAAGGGAATTAATTAGAGGAAATATTTTAATATTGCTATTTGCCCTTTCTCTATAATAGAAGTATCAGAGATGAAAGAAAATTAGTAAAATGTATACAAAAATCTCCCTCCTGTCAGAGTCTGGGGCGTGTCACGGGACCTAGAGTCAAGTCTCCACCCACCCCGCACATGCACCTCAAAAACACAGGAGACCCAGACCCGTCCGGCCCCACACCCATTGGGTGAGACCCAGAGCCAGCCAGCCCCACTCCCATCAAGCCCCTCTGAGTGGGGGGCACAGCCTCAGGTCCCCTGGCCCAGCACTGGGTGGGAGGTGCACTCTCAGGTCCCACATCAAGCCCCACTGGGTGGGGGCACAGCCTCAGGTCCCCTGGTCCAGTACTAGGCAGGGGTGGAGGCCAAAGCCTGAGGTCCCCTGTCAAGCCCCAGTGGAAGGGGGCATGGCCTGAGGTCTCCAAGCCTGGCACCAGGGTGGGGGGCATGGACTGAGGTCCCCATCAAGCCCCGCCAGGCAAGGGGCATGTCCTGAGGTCCCTTTGCCTCGGCCAGGCGCCATGCAGCCTCAGGTCCCTGCTGTTCAGTCGTGACATTACGGTGTCCCAGCTAATTTGCATATTCATCTATTATATATAGACTAGAGACCCGGTGCAGAAATTAGTGCATGGGTAGAGTCCAGCAGGCCTGCCCAGATGGGGGACCATAGGGCCCAGCCAGCAGGGGGGAGGGGCCAGGAGCAGTTGGCCGGCCAGCCCTGCCGCTGATCAGGGTGTTGGGGGCCAATTGGGGGCCGGGCCAGCTGGGGGTAGGGGGACAATCTGGGCTCTGATCAGGCTGGTTGGCTGCCACAGTGCGCATCATAGTCATGGCTTGTTCTGCTCGTTCTATTCGTTCCGCCGTTCTGGTCGCTGGGCTTTTATGTATATAGACAATCAGCTGGCTTATGGTGGGGTGCAGAGCAGATTTTTGTAAATGACTGGTTGCTCTCCCATATTGCCCACAGAATTGGAATAAATGCTTATATTTGATTCAACCCTGTCTCTGCTTAATTGGCTCAGGTAGTGACAGGCAGCAGGGACCATGCATTGTCCTGTTACATATTCATGTGCATGAGATGTGATTGGGAAAAAGAACAAAGACAATCTATCATCCTACATAATAAAGAGCTAAAATGCAAACTGTCATCACGCTGTCACGCTGTCACCCTGAGGCCAGGGGGACCTGAGTCTGCACCCCCAGCCCTATGCTAGGGCCAGTGGACCTGAGGCTGGGCCGGGGAACCTGAGGATGTGCCACCAGCTATGGCACCAAGACCAGGGGACCTGAGGCCATGCCCTCCATCCCAGTACCAGGGCCAGGGAACCTGAGGCTGGATCAGGGACCTGAGGTCATGCCCCGTGCCATGGTGCCAGGGCTGGGGGACCTGAGGCCATGACCCCCACCCCAGCAAATGGCCGGGGGACCCATGGCCCCACCCCCTGCCTGGCAACAGGGCTGGAGGACCTGAGGCCATGCCCCCCACCCTGGCACCAGGCCGGGGGACCTGAGGCTGCACCAGGGGATCTAAGGTTGTGCCCCTCACCCGGCTCCAGGCCTGGGGGCCTGAGGCTGTGCCCCCTGCCTGGCAAGGCTTGATGGGGGGCCTGAGGATGCTCCCCCACTCAGCAGGACTTGATGGGGGATCTCAGGTTGCACTTCCCCACCTGGGGCAGGGCCAGGGGACCTCAGGCTCCACCCATCGCCCTGTGGGGCTTGACAGGGGTGGGGCCAGCCAGGTCTGGGTCTCGTGTGATTTTGAGGCATGCGCAGGTGGGCAGAGACTTGACTCTGGGTCCCGCAGCATGCACCAGACTCTGACACTTCAGAGGAAGATTTTCATATGCATTTTACTAATTTTCTTTCATCTCTGACACTTCTATTATAGAGAAAGGGCAAATAACAATATTAAAATATTTCCTCTAATTCCCTTTTAATGTGCACAAATTTTGTGCACCGGGCTACTAGTTATCAAAAGAAAAGTATCATTCCAAAGCAAATTCTTATTCCCAAACACAAGAAAGGCAACATGGCCCACAGTCGGTGAAGGAGAGCAAGAGGAAGCCCTATCCATGTGCCTCTGTGGCAGCACCACTGAATCCTCATCAAAAACCAAAGGATGGAGAACTCTCAATCCTGGAAGCTATCCGCAAAGGCATGGGGTCAGAATGACTGGTCTCAGGGAAGGAGGGAGGAGGGTGGGTCAGAAGGGACGTTTGTCACCAGCATCCTTGAATCCTTTCCCATCTGGGGTCACCCTGAGGATGACATGGTCAGGCATGCAGCCCAGGGTCCCAGCTGCACCCTTATATCCAGACTCCATGCAAATGGGGCTCTCCTCCTGCTCATAAAAGAGGGCCCTGCCCGGCATGTTGAGGAGACACCCAGAACTGAAGTGCCTGAGACAGGACCCCAGCAGCTCCACCATGGACTTGGTGCCAAGCTGCCTTTTCCTCCTGATCATTTTTCAAGGTCATTCTCAGGATTGGGGAGTGCTGAGACCTGTGCCTGTGCCTGTTTTTGCTTCCATATGATCCTAAGTCCACCTTGTGTCCCTGTGTTTGCAGGTGTCCAGTGTGAGGTGCAGCTGGTGGAGTCTGGGGGAGGCTTGGTGCGGCCTGGGGGGACTCTGAGACTCTCCTGTGCAGCCTCTGGATTCACCTTCAGTAGCTACCACATGAACTGGGTCCGCCAGCCTCCAGGGAAGGGACTGGAGAGAATTTGTGCCATTAATGGTAATGGTGGTAGCACACACTACGCAGACTCTGTGAAGGGCCGATTCACCATCTCCAGGGACAACGCCAAGAACACACTGTATCTGCAAATGAACAGCCTGAGAGCCGAGGACACAGCCGTGTATTACTGTGCTAGAGAGACACACAGTGAGGGGAAGTCAGTGTGAGCCCAGACACAAACCTCCCTGAGGGAGGCAGCATGGCTGGGCTGCAGGGGGCACTCAGTACCAGCAAACCCAGGGTCTTAGCTCAGAAGCTGTCCCTGGAGGGGTGGTGCAGGCTTCCTATTGGGGTCAATGCTTTCTTCCCTCCTTGTGTCCCCGGGGCAGTTCCTGCTTCCTTCTTTATGTCTTTAATTAGATTCTCTTCAGGAAAAAAGGAGGCAGTGGCTGTGTTTCAAATCTGGTCGACTTCTCATCTGCGCCCTTCCTGTCACCATGTCCCTGATGGTAACTCTCTGGGTTGACAAGGAAAACATTTTAGGGATGCCTGTCCCCCTCATTGAGAGCGATGCACCCCAACTTCGCTAGCAGTGCCAAGCAGGGATTGGGGATTCCAAGCCCCAAACCTCACCTGACGGTCATGAGCCCCTCCCTATGTCCGGGAAGGAGCCCTTTGGGGGAGTTATCCAAGAGCCTCTCACTGAGTTGGATGCACTTGGTGGGTTAGGATCGTACTTTGCGGGCACTGCCACTGTGTGAGCCTGGGAGGAGTACCAGCTCTCAGGGTGTCCTGGGATGGAGGCAGGAAGGAGGCCCAGTGATGAGGCCTGTCACAGATGTGCTGGGCCCAGTTACCCATGGGTCTCTGAACATAGTCTTGTGGTATGTATCCCAACACCTGTCCGGCTTCCCTTGGAGAATCCACCTGGATCTTGAGAACCTGCTGAAGGAGACATGGTCCCCACCCACCTGTGCTGTGCCTCCAGGTTCTGCGGACATCACCCCATCCTCACCCTCTGTCCTCTGCCCCCCACGTTCTCACCCCACCAGGCCTGCACAGGATGTCCCCTGTGGCTGCGCTCTGCCCTCTCCTTCCTGCCCTGGTAGTTTTTGCCTTAAATGTACCCCCACGCCATCCCCTCATTCCCATCTCCTGTGCCAGTCCCTCCCTGAGATGCCAGGGCCACTTAGGCGGCATGAAGCCAGCCTCAGCCACCCGGCTGAGCCCGTTACAGAATTTACCAGGCAACCAAAAAATACACAGGAGTACTTGGAGGTCCAGGATAAACCCATTTATTTTCAAATGTTTCACAGGGACTCAGGGGGTCAGGTCTCCAAATCCTGAGTAAACCAATATGGAGGAAGCCCTCTCTTTATACCCTTTGGTTTCTTTGTCCCCCAAATATGGATGGGACTTCCGGACCTTTAGTGTGCTTTGCAAAAAGCCCCGTATGTTGGGATGGGGACTGTGAGACCAAAAGGCCTGGCCTGGCGCCAGCGCTGATAACCCCCTCCAGGGGTTGTCTATTGTTCATGGTTAATGGCCTCTGTAAAATTGTGAGTATTTAGGTAAACGGGTCTTGCAAGACTAGATAATTAAGGAAGGGGCAATGACTAGACTATAGACTAGCAGGAATGTGCATTATGGATACTGATTAACTAGTTACAGAGTCAGGCTGCTGGTCAACCCCCCACTCCCACAAAAAAATTCTTATTTTCTTCATCTAGCCCATGTGCAGTGCCCACGTGTGATGTCAGGCTGTGGGGGCCCCACCTGTGTCAGGTGGAAACACAGCTGAACACTGACCTTAGAGCACCTCCAATAGCTCACACCTGTGCTAAGGGAACCTGCTGGGAGGCCTTGAGCTGCTGAGCATCATGATGGACAAACCTGTGGAAACTGGATTCAGAGGTCAGTCAGGGAAGGGCTGGTGCCTGGTCACCTATAATGTTGCCAACATCCCACTGACCAGAGCCCAGGTACACAGGGAGCTCCGTGAATCCTAAAAGTAGGGGAACAGCCCAGCTTTCTCAGTGGTTAAGCATCGACCTATGAACCAGGAGGTCACTGTTCAGTTCCCATTGTGGGCACATAAGCGGGTTGTGGTCTCTATCCCTGGAAGGGTCATGCAGGAGGCAGCTGATCAATTATTCTCTCTCATTATTGATGTTTCTATCTCTCTCTCCCTCTCCATTCCTCTCTGAAATCAATAAAAATATTTTTTTAAAAAAAGGATCAATAAAAACATTAAATGTCTCATGAAAAACTACCATAACCAGAGGACAAAGGAATGATGACTTTAAAATGCTGAAGGAAAATTGAAAAGTCATCAAGGTAGAATTCTAAACTAACTGAAATATATTTCAAAACCAGCCCTAGCTTTTTGACTCAGTGGATAGAGCATCAGTCTGAAGCACAAATTGTCCTGGGTTCGATTCCGGTCAAAGGTACGTACCTCGGTTGCAGGTTCCTCCCTGGCCAGGGCCCTGGTCGGGGCACGCGCAGGAGGCAACGAATCCATGTGTTTCTCTGACATTGATATTTCTTTCTGCCTTTGCCTCTTTCTTTCACTCTCTCTAAAAATCAAAGGCAAAATATCCTCGGGTGAGAATTAAAAACAAACAAACGAAACAAAACAGACTGAAGCCAGCTGGTGTGGCTCAATGGTTGAGTATTGACCTATGATTCCATTCCTGGCCAGGGCACAAGCCCAGATTTCAGTCTTGATCTCCAGTAGGGGGCGCGCAGGAGGCAGCCAATCAATGATTTTATCTCATCATTGATATTTCTCTTTTTCTTTCTCCCTCCTTTCCTCTGAATCAAAACATATTTAAATAAATAAATAAATAAATAAAAGAAATGGTTGCTGGTTTGATTCTCAGTCCCTGCACATACAGGAAGCAACTGATCAATATTGCTCTCACACATTAATATATCTCTATCACTCCCTCTCCCCTTTTTTTCACTCTAAAAATCAATGAGCATATTCTCAGGTGAGGATAAAGAAGAGAAGATATATATCTATGTCATCTATCTATACCATGGGAGCAGAGGCACATTGATTTTATAGCTAAAGATTCACTGATTGTTCCCATCCTACTTCCTGACCATCTCCTGCAGCACATCTCCTGCTGTGGAAGAAGAGGTCCCTGGGCATGGTGTCCAGGACCCCAAGGAGGGCCTGGTTCTCTGAGGGCACAGTCAGCACCTACTTCCAGGAGAAACCCCAGAGACAGGGACCTCCCCTCACCTATTGCCCTTTGTATGTGCAGACACCTCCCATATGAAAATGCCCACATGGCCACCAGACACACACACAGTTGGCATCCACTTAAATTCAGGGCCTCCTCACTCTGAAGAATATTTTCTGGGGGAGGGGGACTTCACCTGCAAGACATGAATACCATGTGGCTCTTCCTCTTCCTGGTGTCAGCTCCCAGATGTGAGTGACTCAGGGGCTTAGACGTGAGGAGATGGGGATCCTGCATCTGATCCCAGGACTCACTGTGTTCTATCTGTCTCAGGTGTCCTGTCCCAGGTGCAGCTGCAGCAGTGGGGCACAGGACTGGTGAAGCCCTCAGAGACCCTCTCCCTCACCTGCGCTGTCTCTGGTCACTCCATCACCAGTGCTTCCTGCTGGCATTGGATCCGACAGGCCCTGGGGAAGGGGCTGGAGTGGATGGGGCGCATATGTAGTGATGGGAGCACTAACTACAGCCCCTCCCTTAAGAGCCGAACCTCCATCTCCAGAGACATGTCCAAGAACCAGTTCGCCCTGCAGCTGAGCTCTGTGACCACTGAAGAAACTGCCATGTATTACTTGCAAGAGACACAGTGAGGGGAAGTCAGTGTTGAGCCCAGACACAAACCTCCCTGAGGGAGGCAGCAGGACTGGGTTGCAGGGGGCACTCAGCCCACCAGGGGGCGCTCAGGACCACAGACATGAGGACCAGCTCAGGATCTGGGACCTGGGGGATATATTCTCTGTTGATCTGGTCAGTGGTTTTATTCTCCAGGAGTAAACACCCTCCTCAAGGACTCACTGCCTCTCCCCTTTATGCCTTTCCCCCCCCCTTAGAGGAAGTCACTTACTTCCTCTGCCCCCTTGATCCATCAGAAAGAGTCCTTAATATTTCCTTTGGTCCCTCCTGGAGACATTGCCATTTTAAGGAGGCCATTGCAAACATCGTTGGGCAGGTACCAGAGAAACGTTATTGAAGCCCCAGCAACCAATAACCACGGCTGTGCTAGCAAAGGGACAGTCTTCTGCCAGGAGCTTCTGGTGGATAAAACACATGACGGCTTTATTCTAACAGAAAGGAGTTGGTAGAACTGGTCTGTATTTTGAATTTCTAGAGGATAAGCAAATAACAATATCTGAAATGAATAATACATGAAGTAAGACTAACACTGTCGATTAAACATAAGTGAACTTAAAGAAGTGTAATAAAACCTCCCCAAAATGGAACACAGAACAAATTTTCCAAAAAATAGTCAAGTGTCAGCAATGTAAGAGACAATAAAGCAGTCAAATCTATATACATGTAATTGGAATCCCAGAAAAAGGAGATAGGAGGCACCAAGTGAAATGTTTGGAGAAATTATGGCAAATACTTTCTCAGAATTTGATGTAAACCAACATACACCAAGAAAAATAAAAGTAAACAACATTAAATCAAGGCACAATAAAGTCAAACTCATGAAAAAGTTAAAATTCCTAAGGGCAGCAAAGAAAAAAAGCATGCATGAGTCAAGGAACAAGATTAATAAAAACATCAAAGGTCTCATAAAAAACCTACCAAAACCAGAAGACAATGAAGTGATGACTTTAAAGAGCTGAAGGAACATTGAAGCAAGATGAATGTAGAATTCTAAACTAACAGAAAATGTATTTCAAAACTGGAAGAAAATGAAATTATAAAATATCCAATTTTGTGAGATGCAGCTAGAGCAGTGCTTAGAGGGAAATGTATAGCATTAAATGCTAATATATTAGAAAAGAATAAAGATCTTTAAATCAATAATATAAGCCTCCACTTTAAAAAAATTGGAAAAGGGTGAGAACCAGTTTGGAGGCATAGGTAAATGCATGTTCTCCCTGCTTCCCACAACCACATGAAATATACAACTAAAATAGAGAACAACCATCATTCCAGACTAGGGAGGTAAAGAAGAAAGCATATCAAGACTGGTAGGATGGGTGGAGGCATGGAACAGGCCAGTCCGACACCCACATGTGGCCTTTGCTTAATCAGGAGGGATATTTCAGCTGTGGAGGCCTCCTGTGAGAAGCAAAGGGTCTCAGCCTCACACAAGACCCCAAACCCAGGTTTACAGAGCTGGAAGAGAAGTCCTCACAACTTATGGTTGTAAAAACCAGAAACAATTATCACTGAGTGACATGGAGGCAGCTGGACACCCTGGCTGTTCCTCTTAAAGGACCAGCACAGGAACTTAAAGGGTCCCACTTCCTCTGAGCTCCAGCCATAGGTGGTGGAATTAGGGGGTCCAGGGACATATGGGAAAGAAATGGCTTGTCTGGCATTTAGGACAGGAACTTGTGGTGGCTTTCTTCCAGACAGAGCTGCTGAGAGGAATCATTGTTTCTGTTCTGGGACCTCTCACATTTCATAGCTACCTCAAAGTCATATCTGAGGTTCCATCAGTGTGGCTCACACAGTTTGCTCTTCCCTGGTGATTCCCTGAGAACCTGCCCCCTCCAAATTGCAGTCCCATCCAAACTATTTCCAGCAGCCTTTCCATATGAATGGCTTGTCCTGGCTCAGGCTTCAGACTCTCCTAAAATCTCTCAAAAAAGCAGAAGCTGGCATCAGCATGCCCCAAACCTATCAATAAAAGGCCCAAGACCTGGCACTAGCACCAGCCTGCTTTGCTTCACAGCTTGTCTTTGCCTGGGCACTTCCAAGCCCAATACAAGCAGCAGCCACCTGCAGATCCCCCTGTAGTTCCTGCTTGGTGGCCTCAGGCAGTGGCTGACTTTGCTCCTCCTAGGAGGCCCTAGAGCCAGTGCACCAGGTGGACAGGTTCAGACCACACCAGATTACAACTTTACACATCCAGGAGGAGGAGAGGGAGGAGAAAGAGAATGAGGAAGAGGAGAAGGAGGAGGAGGAGGAGGAGGAAAAGGAAGTGAAAAAACAAGTATAAGAAGAAGATATACAAAATATAAACAAAAATGACAATAAATACATGTCTGTCATTAAATCTAAAAATCAAAATAAACAGAGTCTAAAGAACAAAATAAACTGTTGAATAAAATAGAACCCGAGGCATGAAAAGATGGAACAAACTAATGAACCTCAGAGGGAAAGGGGGAGGGGAGGGTGGAAAGTGATTAACCAAAGAACTTATATGCCTATATGCATTAGCTATGGTCCCAGAGAGGAGGGTGGTGAAGGCCTGGGGTGGGATAGGAATGTGGTGAAGGGGTGATATGGGGTGGGGGAAAGTGAGACATCAGTAATACTCTCAATAGTAAAGATTTTTTAAAATTAGATAAGGAAAATCAATATCAAGCAAAAGGAATGAAAAATAAAGATGAACAGAAATTAATGAAATCAAAACAGAAAAATTAAAGAGAAAATGAATGATACCAACAGCTGAATCTTTGAAATGGTCAATAAAACTAATCAAATGCTAACAAGACTGGCAAAGAGACAAGTGACCAATATCAGAAATTAATTAGGGCATATACATATTGTCCAATGCATTCTTATGAGACTGGCATTCTTTGTGCAGTCAGTACAAAGAAATAGTAAACTACACACCAAAATCTGTTAACATATTTACTAAAATCCTTAACAAAATATTAGCAAATCTTACCAGCAATATAAGAAAAATAATACAGCATCATGACAAAGTGGGAATTATCCCAACAATTCAAAGCTGATTCAATATTTTTTACTGGTTTAAGAGAGGAAGGGAGAGGGAGAGAGAAATAGAAATCTCAAAGATGAGAGAGAATCATTGATCATCTGCTTCCTGCACGTGCCCTATTGCGGATAGAGCCTGCAACCCCGGCATGTGCCCTTGAACACAATCAAACATGGGACCCTTCAGTCTGCAGGCCAACGCTCTATCCACTGAGCCCAACCAGCTAGGGTAAGCTGATTCAACATTGTAAAATTTACCAATTGATTCCAACAGGTCAACTGTGTAAAGAAGAAAATTCACATGGTCATAAAAATTGATACAAAAAGTGTGTGACAAAGCACAGCATTCATTCATAACAAAAAATGCTTAGAGAACTTGAGATAAAAGGGCATTTCCTCAAACTGATCATGGGGTTCCTGTAGCTACTATCATACTTCATTGTGGGAAGTTAAAGGATTCTACCTCAGATAGGGACAAAGTCAAAAAGGTCCACTCTTACCACTTCTATTCAACATTGTACTTGACTGTTTAACAAGTGAAATAAGACAAGAAAAATACATAGAGACATTCAAATGTGAATGGAAGACACAGGTGTCCCTACTTGCACATGACATATTAATCTATGAAAAAAAATCAAAAGAACTGACTTCAAAATCTCCTAAAATTAATTTATGATTTTAGCAAAATAATGGGTCAATACACAAAAATGAGTATATTTGTTTACTCTAGCCATGTGTAAATGGAACCCAAAATTAAAATATAGTCTGGCCAGTGAGGCTCAGTGGTTGAACATCAACCTAATAACCAGGAGGTCACAATTTGATACCTGGTCAGGGCACATGCTGGGGTTGTGGGCTTGGTCCCCTGTGTGGGGCATGCAGGAGGCAGCCAATTAATGAGTCTCTCTCATCATTGATGTTTCTATTCCCCTCTCCCGGCCCAAGACCTGGCACTAGCACCTGAGCACTTCCAAACCCAATATATGTAGCAGCCATCTGCAGATCCCCCTACAGCTCCTTCTTGGTGGCCTCAGGCAGTGGCTGACTTTGCTCCTTCCAGGAGGCCTAGAGCCAGTGCACCTGGTAGACAGATTCAGACCACACAAGATTACAACTCCACACATCCAGGAGGAGGAGGAGGAGGAGGAGGGAGAGAAGAAGGAAAAAATATGAACAAAGCCCTAAACGGTTTGGATCAGTGGATACAGTGTAGGCCTGCTGACTGAAGGGTTCCAGGTTTGATTAAGATCAGGGGCACATGCCCAGGTTGTGGGTTCAGTCCCCTGTGAGGGGCATGCAGAAGGCAGCTGATCAGTGAATCTCTGTCATCATTGATGTCTCTATCTCTCTCTCCCTCTCCCTTCCTCTCTGAAATCAATAAAAATATTTTAAAAATATGAACAAAATAATGGCAATAAATACATTTCTATCAACAATTAAATCTAAAAACCAAAATAAATGAACATAGTATCTAAAGAACAAAATAAATAGGTGAATTAAATAGAATCTGAGCCATGGAAACATGGAATAGACTGAAAAATCTCAGAGGGAAGAGGGAGGGGAGAGTGGAAAGAGATGAACCAAAGAACTTATATGCATATATGCATTACCTGTTGACACAGATAGGAGGATGATGAAGGCCT